CACTGCACTCCAGTCTGGGTGACAGAGTGAGACTCCAACTCAAAAAAAAAAAAAAGTTAGGTGGCCAGGATGAGAGGTGCCTGAGCCCTGGGCTCCTTGTGGTTCTCCCCCCCAGGGCATCCTCTGTGTTTGTGGTCATCCTCACCTCGTCTGACTCCTGGCCCTTCTGCTCGCTCTGGGCCTCAGTGCTCTCTTGGATGTAGTTGTTCCTCCATTGTTCTGTGTCCCACTCCGCCTCGGCCACATTCACCTCCTGCTGCTCACTGAGGAGCTTCATCAGGAGGCCCGTCTGTGAGATGAGCTTGGCACAGGGCAGCTGCACACGACTCTCGGAGCAGTCCATCTTTAGGGTCCTGATCACGTGGGAAACAAGCCTCCGCACATTGTTGTCTGGGATGAGGAACTGCAGCTGCTGGTTTAGCTCAGTCTCAAACTGATCCCCTGGGGACAAGAGCAGCGGGTACGTGGAGCTCTGCGGTGTGGGGGACAGATTGGGCCCCAGGTGGCTGACCTCCCACTGCATGCCGTTGGTCTGTTTGACGGGTGACATGGCAGGCACGGTGGAGTCGGCCTCGGAAGGGTTCACAAGCCCTTGCGAGGGCAAGTTGATGAGGTTCCGGACTGCAGGGAGTGGGGGCCTCTTGGCAACCATCAGTTGACCAGATGAGCCTTCCTTCCCGAACTTCCAACTCGCCTTGGCCTTGGGTGCTCTTGTGCACCACCTCAAAGTGAGTTTTACCTACAAGTGGATCAAGTGGATCCTGCATAATTTGGGATTTTGCTGCTGCCTGTTTCAAAATAATGAAGGTACGCTTCAGGTCCTTGGACTCCCTTTGGTCCCCAGACAGGGCTTTCGCAGAGGCAGCTGGGGGAACATCTATCTGCTTTCCTAGGGAAGAAAGCCTATGTGCCTGTGTGGATGAGGGCTTGGTGTGGGAGGGGCTGTCCACCAGCATCTGGGGCCTCTGCGCCCTGAGAGACCATTCTGGCTCCCTTGGGGCCGGCCTCCCACGCTTCCTTTCCATGGCAGCATCCTCCACAGATGGCTGGGTGCTCTGTTGCCTCCTGATGAGCTGATCTTGAAGGGTCTTCTTGAGTTGCCTTTTCTTAATGCCCTTGGGCCCCTTGATGATTACGTCCATGGTCCGCAGCCTTTTCCTAAGACCCTGAGTCTTTGACAGCCTGGTTCCCTGTGGCTGGGAAGTTTTCAGGTGGTCTGCAGAGTTTTGGTGTTTAAAACTTTGATATCCTAAGGGGCCAGGCTGCATCAGCATACCAGCTCCTATCTTCCTTTTGACTGCCTCGATTTTTTTTTT